GAATTAAAAGCCCACGAAAGCAAAGTAAAAGACTCTTGCGCCCTCAAAAAAAGCAGATTTTGGCTCTTCAACAACATCGTCTCTTCTGACCTTCAACTCCGAATCTACTAGCCAGGGGACCATCTGGAACACATGAGTTACTAGACAACCCCACATCCGTAACGACTTTTGGATGCTAGGCTAGGCTTCTTCATAGCAATCACTCCCGACCAAGACTTTTCTGACATCTTTTCACGACCTTCGGTTTGTCCTGCGGCATGAATCAAGGGAGGAGTAAGGAGGAGGCTAGGAAGGTTGAGAGACGCTCTTAGGTATACACAGGTCTGCTGTGCCCGGCTGGCCGGCCTCTTTGTCGTGGGAGAGCCCCGCACCCAGTGGTTTTTGAGACTTTTCCCAGAAGCTACACACTCGCCTATGGCCGGAGGACGAAGGCTGAACACTTGTAAGTGGTGTCCTCTACGAACCTGGAAGTAAAATATTCTACCAGAGCCGAGGTCCAGTCACGAAAAAGGGTGTAATTGAGAGTTTTTATCGAGAGGGCGATCGGGAGGAGTGGTGTTGGCAAGTTTTCGGTCGAGAATCTGACTGTTAGAGACTTCACGACCGCACAACCCAACGAATTCAATCATCTACACCCCAGATATGTACTGCAGACAGGATAAAACCTGTCTGATGTTCACATTAAAACAGCTAACTACACTCACCAACTCAGATTATCCTGGAAGATCTTTTCCATCTGAACTCATCTCGCGGCCCTCTCTATAATTATCTCACCACCTTGCAAGGCACTATAAAATCCAAAATTCAAGTGGAAATCCATCTCCTCGCATATATCGTACCCAATGAAAGTGTGATCTAAGTACCAGCCTTATATTCCTCCGACTTCATCCAAGGGCATCAACAACTCGACCTGCAACGAATCACCATCGACGAAATACGTACAATATTTCGCCGGAACATCAAAGCATTCGACAAAGGCTAAGGCATCGGTGCCTTGGTATTAATCTTTTCAAACCATATTCGGCCTCCATGGTTGGGATACGGCAGCGATAGGGCAAGATCAGAGAGGTGAAAAGCCTAAAAAGTTTCTATGATGACGAAGTTGAAATTAGAGTTAAGGACAGCTCAAATAAAGGAAGAGGAGAAAATCGAAGGAGGTATCGGTGGGGGACTGGATTAGATGAAGAGAAGCTGAGGCAAGGCATGGCTGTGACCGACCGGGAAATATAGGCCAGTGTTACGGTTCCGTAATTGTTGCATGAGTAATCAAATTTACGAAGGTAGTTTAAACTTTTCTCTGGAACCAACTATCGGAGCATTACTTCAACTATTTAAACATTTATGAAAATATCTAGAGCACTCGTTCTTGGCTCATATCCGCTTCTCGCACATTCCACCCAGAGTAGCTCCTAGTCTTGCTACCAATGCCATGAATAATCCAGTTACAGCTGAACTGACCTGTAATAAAGCTAGACAACTTTAGAATTATATAGGCACATGATTACAATCACGAGCCGTGCAACAATCGGTTTAGAGGTCATTACAGCCAGAGATCTGTGGGATGTCAAGGGCTCGGGCGCGTGATGGCAGGGAGTAGGGAGGAATTTGCCTTTCGGCGCATCAAAAGCGGATTCTCTGGACGGTTTGACTTGATATATTCGACACACGCGTGAAGTCAGAGGTAGTCCGGTCATTCTGGTGGGATAAGGTTTAATGTACTTACAGTGTCTCTGGGATATAAAATGTTTACCTCGAAACTGGTATGTTTAAGGGATTAGCCCTGTAGGGGCAGTTGGGCTAGCTCGTAATGGGTTGGACTATCTCTCCTCATTACCCCGCTCGCCATGAAGTCTGGTCCAATCGTCTTCTTCTAACATTCGGTTAGAAAAGCACATTTTCAACGACAGTTTTGGCTGCCTAACCTACACAGCCCTTGAATCTTAACACCACTATCAATTCATCCACTATTCTAGCAAACGATGTCTCTCCAAAAGTCTGCTTCAGAAACTGAAGTTCGCAAGCATCTAACTTGCGATAAATGTATTGAAATAAGAACATAAAGAAGACTTGGCTTGACATTACAACATATATCCGACGAACTTAGCTTCACAAGAAGGCAAGTGCAACTTACGTGTGCTCGAGAGACAGAGAATCCTAAGCCTCGCAAAAGATGCTCATCTAAATTAAGCGCGGAACAAGTTGATGAGGTTGAGGCTTTCGTCCGGGAATCTCTTGAAAATCGACAGATGTGCTATTTGGAACTAGCAATGGGACCTTTCAGCCACTGGGGATGCAGTGAGTGTTTAATTTCTATTGCCCTCAATAAAATAGGTTACAGCAGATGCATTGCTCGAAAGAAGCTTCCGTTAAGTGTGGTAAACATTCACAAAAGATGTATAGCGGTGATAAAGGGAAATGGAGGGTTCACAAAGTATTGGGATGGAGCAGAATTCTACAGAACATGTAGTACGCGTTCATTTTAGTTCCGAGCCATACTGAGGGCTTCGGTGTATACTTTTGTAATACAGAGCAATTATTTATGAAATAGATGTGTATCTTTAGATAATATCAATTAATTTTTTTAAATTTTAATTTTAAATGAGGACCATTGTACATTTATTTTGGTGTTGAAAACCGACCCCATTATTTTGACTTTTACGGAATATCGTTGGATAGCACCCCTGCCTGCAAAACTAGTCGACGAAATAGACATGGGCCTGCATGAAGGCTAAGCCAATCTAATCAGTTTGTACAGGGATCTACCCCAGTCATTTTGACGATTGTACTTTTGATACCCTTAAGAGACTGTATGTGGCAGTTGACCTGACCCAGCTCTGCTCCACTCGTGCTCAAGCTCCCGTACTTTTGGGTAGAAGGTTCTGTGGATAAAGTGGCTGAATTCCATAGGTAAACACTGAGCTGAACGGCTATTATATATCTTTGTGTTTATTGTGCTACTTGAGTCTATGACTATCTAGCACGTTGGGCTCCTCTCTGACCCAGGCCACACCTTGTGTAGTGCTCCTTGCCTCTTTAGTTGCTTGTAAGATCACTGATATATTGCCCATGATGAATAGCCATTCAGCTCTGTATTTACCCGTGGAATTCGGCCACCTTTTCCACGGAACCTTCTACCCAAAAAAAACATGGTAGCAGTGGAAATTGCGTGCGCGGGAAACAGTCTCAAAAAAGCTCCAGCCCCAGCCAGGCAAGGCCTAGACACCGGGACCACATGAGGTGCGCATATTTATCCACATCTCCCTTCTATGTAACAGTCGAGGCCGACTTGATCCAATCCACCATCTCCGTATCGGGTGCTGGGTACGCTCCGGAATCTCATCGGATGTCTTTTCCTCCGTGATCAAGGTTTGGTGATGAGTAGAGCTCCGACCCTACCATCTGATCTGATCGTGGTTAGCTTCATGATAATGGTGATAGGGGAATGTGTTGAGAGATGAAGACGATACAGACCGCGGAAGCAATTTGGAATCCTCGTAGGAGTGAGGACTTTGTTACTCAATCTCGGCTCTGCAGATTCTACAGTGAGAGCTGGAGGTTCGTAGGGGACACCGCTGACAGGTGTTGAGAATAGTCCCCCGCTGAACGGCTATTCATCAAGGGCAATATATCAATGATCTTACAAGTAACAAAAGAGGATAGGAGCACAGTACAAGGTGTGGCCTGGGTCAGAGAGGAGCCCAATGTGCTATATAGTCAAAGACTCAAGTAGTACAAAAAACAAAACACACTGCTGGAAGAAGTCGTGAGGGAGGTATAGATACTCCCGGCCTGTAGGCAGAAATAACCTACATGACCTTTCATAATCATAGACTTTACAGGACAATAAACACAAACAAACGAACAAACATATATACGTAGTTGATCACGGGCACAAACGGCAGAATTACGTATACATAATGTTTTATAATCATCAACGTAAACCCTCTTTTTCTTGCATCATTTGTTGGTCAACTCTTTTTTCGGCGGGTTCGACGGAGATATTATCTTGAATCCTCTTCTCATCCAAGCAGACCTCTATCATCACCTACTCCACTTGGGAAGGAGACGCCTAAGACCATTTTTTGCGCGGAGAAAAGTTGAAAGATGATGGAGGCATATCTGGATAACTTAGGGTTTTTAAGACGTTCCCCTGAGTGGGTATTCACGGAAGAGGGTTGACTTGGGGTGAAGAAAAAGCCGCCATAACTTCGCAGTGGTACTTGCAAATGAAATCTGAGGCATGAGTGCTCTTCCTTCACGTTGAATCATCTATTCTGTACTTTTCTCTGATATTTTGTCATAGCTAGATAGCTGCATACGCAATTAAAATCCGATGCAAAACAAAATTAGCGCCTCATCTCACGTCGGACGCCCAAAGAGCGTAGTGGAGTTGCGTAAATACTTCGACGGCTAATATAATTGCAGCTGTAATGTGCTCGAACTAACCCAGCTCAACTCTACAGATTAAGCTGCATAGTGTGCCACTGCACCATACGACTGAGATTGTAATGCTCAATTAATAAAACTTAATGGAATCAAAGAATGGAAGATCAACTAAAGAGTACGATAATGCAATACTGCGCGCAATGCGTTCGTAAAAGGCGTTGTTTGGCCTGGTGGACCACACAAACACAAATTCTCGGTTATTCAAAGGATAAAATTTTCACCTCATGTTTCCATGAAGATTTGCGGTTTGGCCGAGACTTAAATTGAATCGATTCCCTAGCACCTACTGTCACCCAAGAAACAGAAAAAGCTCTACTGAGACTGACTGGTCAGATTCCATGAAGCGATTGACCTAGTATAATTCAGTGGCCATAAAGGAGATAAATTTTAGCTTTGACCGGTATGCATGCGAGCCATTGTGAATGTTCACTGACCTGATAGAGGAGAATCTGTTGATCCATAGTCGAGTGGCACTGCCCGGGATAACTGCTAGATACCTTAGGTAGTCAGCAGTTTGAAGAGGCAACCACTACGTGATCCACATCCGCCTACCATCAAAGACACGTCTCATCAGCAATTTCCTGTGGCGGTTTGCGCTCATTGCCCACACAGTCTAGGTGAAAATAAGACCAGTGCGTATTAGCTATCCACTTATCCGTCGTTACTGGCCTTGGAGTAGTCCAGTGCTCGATTGTCCCTTCAGCTATGTTCTGCGTAATTTAACCCACTGTCTCATCTCAAAATAGATGCCATCACAATTTGTAGTTCGGCAAAGTATGATGTCCGGTTTCGTAAATTTTCATCTGAACTCAAGCATAATTGGTGAAAGCTAGACTACAAGACAGCGATGATCAGTAAAGCGGCAAAAATACTTCATGTCCAATCTGTGGAAGCTAGGCCTTTACCTTCTGCCGCTCGCACGTCATGTTATTACCACAGGAATTGGGTAGAGGAACTGCACTATTAACGCAGATCTCCAGTTGCTGAATGGCACTGTTTTTCATTTCGAAATAAATATAACTACATTACAGCATTAAGCCCTGGATATGGGTATAATTCAATCTGCTCACAGATTTCCAGATGGACGTAAGGCCAATGTCCTACGCTGTATTTCCTTCAGCCATCCGCAGTTGATGGCCTACAAAACAATGAACTTTTTGCTAACAAATGTTTATTGATCACGGGTAAGCGCTACTAAAACTACTGGCACGCAATTTACACATAATTTGGGTAAATTTGGACGCTTCGGGTATTCGAGCAGGTGAAAGTCGTGTCAATGTTGATTCTACTACATGCATTTTGTGAAATTTTGAATCCTGAACTCCGAATTATATCAATTTGAACTTCATCCAATCATTCTTTATAAGGAAATTGCGTGGGTTGGAACCACCTTGTCAGGTCACGCTGTTATTGAATCAGCTGAGTAGGCCGCCTTGTATTGTAGAATCTTGATTCTAGGACATGCGTGAATGGCAATGCCAGTTCCGTTTGCGATTACTAAGAAACGCACTAACAGGCAAGTGACATATTTTCACGTATCATTAGTTGTTTCTCCACTTCGATCAATTCTACCCAAAAATTTGTAATGGTTATTGAATCATTTCTCGTTTGAAAGACATCCCTTCCAGTGTCCGTGGTTGATGAGCCCTCCACTGGGGGTTTACACCAGTACGCGCAATAATTGGGGTCAAACGCCGCCCAGTCAGTGTCCGGATATCCAGAACCGCTTGCACGGACGTTAGACCGGATTAGCGAGGGCCTTGTATTAACCAGGCATGTCAGCAATGTTTGCTAGGATACGTCAACGAGATCGGCGTGACGCCTCTGCAAATGCACGAATGATAAACCTCCAATTCTTCAAAAATTATGAATATTGGACAGCCCTGGCTTCGGCTTCTATCATAGTCAGTTGATAGGTCCGGCATCCGGATTCCATCTCAACAAATTGGGTAGAAGAAAATCGATGATTCGGCTGCTCTATATATGTCTCATCCGCTTCAAGTTCCACTCCGATGTCTCAAGACCGACTGTGCGAATCCAAGGCCCCCGACTTCGAAATATAAAATAAGCCTTGACCTCTTCAGCTTTAGCCTGTTGCGTAAAATAAGCAAGCAAATCATTGCAAAAGCTCCCGAACCCCTGTTGCTCCCTAGCTTCTTAAGCATAGCTCTTGTACGCAACCTATTGCAGATAATTTGCGACACTTCATCCTCACCTTTCACTATCGACTCGCTCTCTGTCGAATGATGATGTACTTGTAAATACCAAGACAACAATGCTCTCGAAGCCTCCAACGCCCACCTCAACGGAAGAAAACAACAAGACATCGAAACTAAATATTCAAATTGCCAGGCACTATACCTCAAACTCCTATAGTTATCCTTGGGTACACGGTCGTAAGCCAATCATCCTGACTGATCATTAAAATCTTTCGTTATGGGCGACTTCGATCCTTCATTCGTTCACGCCATAGCCGTACAATCATGGACATTATACGGAATAGGGATGTTCTTTATCTGCTTAAGAATGTGAGGACTCACACACAACACCTCACCTTCATCTACACGCTGATTACTTCAGATATGCGCGGGTCAAAAGATTAGGCTTTAAAGGGCTTCAAGCAGATGATTACCTTATGCTTTTAGTTGGGGTATGCTCACAATTCTGAATACACCAAATTAACTATAATCTAAGATACAAAATATAGGTTCTATACACAACCCTAATAGTATGCCTCAATGTCATCTGTCAGGGTGGTGGGAGCAATCTATACCCACCTGAACAGTACGTTACATTTTCACCCGAAAATATTCAAGAACGTATTCAAGGCTCCAAAATCGTTATTGTTTCGGAACAGGTATAACTAACAAAACTAAATTCATTTCCAGAGCTAACAGAACAAGGCCATGCTTAACGTGATATACACCATCAAGTGTTGTATGCTTATAATGTACAGTCGTTTGACATTAGGCCTCCAAGTCCGTCGCATGATCAACTACATGGCAGCATATGTTGCGATAGGCTGGGTTGCTACTGAAATTGCATTTTTCACTGCATGTAGGCCATTTCATGGTTATTGGGCGATGCCTCCTCCTAACCCGCAATGCACGACTCTCGAACACTACGCTTATGTCCAGGGATGCTTTAATATATCCTCTGACTTACTAATGCTCGGGATACCACTTCCCCTGATAACTCGTCTCAACGTTCCTTTGAAACAAAAATCTGTCCTATTCTTAATATTTTCTATGGGAGCATTCGTCATCATCGCCGCAATTCTCACCAAGATATTCAACCTCACTGATGTTTGGGACCCCTCATACATGTTATGGTATACTCGAGAAGCATCTGTTGCGGTTTATGTGTCCAATTTACCGCTCATCTGGCCCATTCTCCGCGAATGGTTTCCCTCCCTTAAGGTCCTTGCACCGCGGAGCAAAGTACCTTCCCAACCAACGAAGTATGACCCTTCTACATCGGGTCATTTCCCCCTCCCGGATGACTACGAGAGAAAAGCTTTGACCACACCGCAAGATAACTCGGTCACTACTACAATAAAGTGTCAACGTAGTCCGGGTATCAATGATGTTGTCTCAGAGCTTGACTCAACATCAAAGCAAGAGATGATGGACTACCCAAGCCCAACCCCGCCATATCACGAGCTCCCTGTCTCTGAGTTAGACGGAGAGAATAACCACATCCACATGACAACTACCGTCCAAATTTCGGAGGAGCATGTCTTGAACGAAGGAAAGTCACCTTTGAAGCAGCCTACCAGCGGACCTAATCGAATGAACGAAGGCGAGCCAAGTGTTCAGCAAGGATACAATTGGATGGGTAAATCTTTTTGAGTACACCAAATTGTTCCTAAGTTTTTTACAGTGATGTATTGCTGATTGCGACGGTAAGTTCACAAGACTTAACACAAGGGAGTTAGGAGCAGAAGCGAATTTCCTTGGATGGCGTTGATGCTCATGAACCCTTTTTCTTCTAAATGTCTAATTACAAATTATGTTTATTCTGGAATAAATTCAGACAATGCACCTGCATATTTAAAAATACCTCTCATCTATTTTGCATAACTTTTGGCTTTTCTCAATGCAATCAACTACTGCTAGTAAACACATCTATGTCGTGAGTGTGTTAGCAAATCTTTGCCAACTCTGGAGGTAAATATTAGTAACCGGTGCAAATAAATCCTAGAGGGCAGACCTGCAACTAAAGCCTGCAAAGATTAGCATGACCGGACAACAGCTACGGCGACCGTTTTGCATGGCAGCCCCAGGAGATGACGTAGTCAGGGGCAGCTGATCTGGCCAGCAGTAATATTGGCCTTTGCGCTCGCTTGCTGCTCAACATGGAGAGAGATGGTAAGAGCCAGATGGTAGTATAAATATGGGGTCCGTGTGATATTGCATTATTTTAGTCCGAGGGTCACTTGATCTAGAGTGTCTATGATAGTTGCGTTACAGAAGGCTATCGTGTCGGCACTTGCGTGTCTGATAGCGCAACAATGCTTGAGCGAGCAATGGCTGAATGTCTTCTGGTGCCAATTGGAAGCAGGCTGTAGTGGCCATGGAGTTTTTCTCGACTTGTTTGTACACACTTCTACTTCGTGAGAGCCATGTATAGCGGCTAGTGGGATCCGGGATGGACAGGACTGTAGCGATAGTGTCAGGAGAGCCGCTTGGTAGCACCACATTGCTGTTATTGCTGCTCGTCTCATTATTACTCTTGGCAGCCTTTGAAAGTCGTCCGGCGACGGGGAATTGGGATATTGCATCACAAGCCTTCCATGTCGGCCAGCCATTGCAATCCTCGTCCAGCCAAGCCTTCACCATGAGGGGATCTCTCCTGGAGGTGGGCTCGCAGGGCGTAGATCTGCTAGCGGGATCTGGCTGAGCGGCGCCAGGGCTCGAAGCTCAGGGCGGGACTAGGGGTATCGGGAACGATGATAGTCCTCTTCTGCATCGGGGGGCCGGGCGTTGCACGCTGGCAGGTCGCTTAAGGCGACAAACGGCTTCATTGGAGGACAAACGAGACCTGCATGCGCCCCTGCAAACCATCCCAGCTTCTTAACCCCGTGACTATCCACCACCCATGTATTATATTTCTTTTTCCGTATCCGGCCAACTTGTGTTTGCGGTCCCGACTCGGCGGCGACGGCGCAGGGACAGGAGGACGGAGAGTGAGGCTCTAAAGGCGCCAGCCATCACGGCGCTACGAAATCGGCTGACGGAGCCCATTTCCCCAGGTTTTCAAGGTCCTTGCACCCTGTACGATGCGACGCTGTTCGGTGAGATTGAAGTATAGCGTGAGGTCCTCGTGGGCAGATGGAAACGGGTCGGGCAATGAGATAATGTCGGCGGCGCTGCACTACCCTCTTTTGACAGCCTCACTAGTCCAGCCAGGAGTATCAGTCGTAGAGGCGGTCTCATTCCTCAGGGGCATTGTGGGTGGAAAGGCGCAATGCTGGCACTCTGGCTCGTGGAGATGGGGAACGACCACGCCTTGTACGCGTTCTGTAGGGCGAACATGGAGCCCGATGATTCAGAAGGACCGGCCCTAGATTGGCCATGACTAGGCAAGGGAAGCCTTCCCATCGACCGATTTGAGCATCCTACGCTTGCACGAGTGTACCGAGCCCGAAGCACAAATGCTCGCTCGCAGGAATCGCGCTTGGCCGTCCAGTCCGAGATGCCGTCTGGTGATGTGTTTCTAGACCATTCCATGATCTGCGCCGTCTTATCACGCATCCTCTGAGCCCCGGATCTGCCACGTTACCACGGTAAGATGCGGGGAATTTCGGTAGCTGGGCAAATGCTCGTGCCGATTACTTTGCCAGTCGAAGGTCAGGTTGCATGAGTCACTCGTTGTCCACCGGCCAATCCTTACGCCTGGCAGTTCCGAGCCATCTTGAGAATCGACTCGTCTCGGTGGCAAGCCATTTTGCCTGCTCATAACAGAATATGAGCAAGATCGCCACACGTAGCAACGCGTCCGGCGACGCGTCTGCATCACGCGATTCGAGTCTGCGTCGTAGACTCGCAATGCTGAACATGCTGGCAAAGGCCGACAACCATCCCAGCCTACGAAGATTCCATTGGGAGATTGCAGTACCATTGCTCGGGAGTGGGCATCTCGGTGCCCTGATCCATCGCCCTATCGACCCATGCAGAATAGTCCACATCCTTGCTTTTACGTAAGAGGTGATCCGTCAATAAAGCCCCCTTCCACCTACGAAGTTACTTTTGTATCTTACGAGCTCTACCGCTGCATGTACGTAATGGCCTCGAGACGCAATGAGCTGTAACTGTATTCATTGATGTATGGTACATTTCGTCCGGCAGAGGCTAACGTTGGTGGTCTGGCACCTGTTACCGTAGTGTCGAGGACGTGACGGCCATAAATAAAAAATGAATGGAGCAGAGGCCCGAAGTACATTCTCCGATCACTTAGGTTCTCGAAGGTTTATCATCCTCAGATCTTCGCTTTGGGTTGACCACTCTAGTCTATGAACTGTGTTGCCGTAGCCCACGCTTCCTCCCTGTTTAGCTACGCAAATCTTCACTCGGAGACCAAAGACTGACACTTGCACGCGCGTTCCTCTACAAACCTCAGTGTGGGAGAAAGAGAGAGAGAGAGAGGTGTGTTAATTGTACAACTTCAGTCTATGATTGCCTATCACATTAGGCTCCTATCTGACCGAGAACATACTTTGTATGATGCACCTATCCTCATTTTTACGAGAGGGACTCAGATTTGATGACCATGGTGGATGATGAGAAGGGCTTCGACTCTACCATCAGATCTGATCGTTGTTAGCTTCATGATAATGGTGACGGAGTTGTGTTGAGAGATGAAGACGATACAGACCGCAAAAGTGATTGGTAACCTTCATGGGAGTGAGAACAAGATTGTTACTCAATCTCGACTCTATAAACTCTACAGTGAGAGTTGGAGGCTCGTAGGGGATACCACTGACAGGTGGTCAAAATAGTCCCCCAGTATTTACGGATAAGGGCTAAGATAAGATAACAACTTTATTTTAGTCCCTCCTGAGTCTGAGACTATGAAGATGGATGAGGGCTAATTTGGGACAAGAGAGATCCACCACGGCTTCGCAGTGATACTTAAAAATGAGCCGGCAAATTCGAATTCTTCATCTTCCAGTGGTGTCGGTGTAATGGCTCAGTATGCTCTGCATATCTGGATGAGCTGAGAAGGATCGCATCCGAGTCGAAGTCGACAGCAAACACATACAAATCTATAATCGGCGACTTTTCATCGATTTCTGTCTCCTCATTCTCACGTGAGTTCTACACTTCAACTTCTCCATACACCAGCTCGCCTCAATGACCGACAAAAGTGTTCCTCCAATTGTAAACAGGAGCTTTCCTCATCTATTAACAACCATCACTCACTACAAATTTACGACGCTGCATTTACCCACACGGAAGAAAAAAGTCATCACATACAAAGTTGGGGTCTTGGTTCATGGGGGACTGTCACTTTAATGGGGCTACAGATCTGGAGGAAGGACAAGCGGCTGGGGCGTGGAGAGATACAAGGCAGAGACTTCCTTTAGGAATAATAGGTCTGATATCGTCCAGTTATTTTCGACTTTGGAACGTTTATGGGCGCCGAGACCGAGAATACAGCTAATTAGCCAGGAGGGTTTCATGGATATGCAATAGGGCATAATTAATTCGTTTTATTCTCAACGTAATCTACGTGACAACAGGCTAATAGGATAGTGCTTGATCTTGGTAAGGTAGGCAGTGAGTGTAGATGCAAAGGTCTAGAAAGATAAAGGTGGTCTGGTAGCAAACAAGAAGTGGCCACATCGCCTTTTATTTTTGCGTCAGATTTTAATTACGTATGCAGCTATCTAGCTATGACAAAATATCAAAGAAAAGTACAGAATAGATGATTCAACGTAAAGGAAGAGCACTCATGCCTCGGATTTCATTTGCAAGTACCACTGCGAAGTTATGGTGGCTTTTTATACACCCCAAGTCAGCCCTATTCCGTGAATACCCACTCAGGGGAACGTCTCAAAAACCCTGAGTTGTCCAGATACGCCTCCATCATCTTTCAACTTTTCTCCGCGCAAAAAATAGTCTTAGGCGTCTCCTTCCCAAGTGGAGTAGGTGCCCAGGCTACTCAAACTATACCGGCGAACACCACCAGGAGGCGGATCACAACACCTTCCATCGTTGGCTTGTTTTTTGTTTTTTATTTTAAAGTCCTAAGCTAAAGCTCTAGGTCCACTATCGGTACAAGACTGGTCGAGCCGGTAGGGTTCTCTGCGTACAGGCCCAACTCATTCCAACCGCGGGAACCTCAACAAAAGTAGATGAAGTTAACAACATAACTTAAATCAAGACTAAAATCAAAGCGTAAATCAAAAAAAAAACCGAAAAAATAAATAATAATTTAGAAGAATTTCATATGTGGTCCAGATCCCGCGCTTCTCACCCGTTTCCTTCCCTGTCACATCTTCCAAGTGACTTTTCCTAATCTCCGCTGAGAGCGAAAGATGAGCTCTCAGGTAACCTTTGCTATCGGCCGGTTTCCTGCTTTTTGATGTGAAAGTTGTTGTAGACTTCACCAAGGACTGCCGAGTCCTCAAACTTCTTCTTCGGTTTCTAGAATTCCGAAACCCGATCCCTCCGCCATGGAGACGTCCTTCGCAGAGGCGTTCCTCGCCTCTTCGTCCTTTTTGTATGCAGCTTTGACACGGGCAAAGTCTGCATATCTTTCTTGCTCGACTCTGCGAATTGCTGCGAGCTGTTCCTTGGTCACCGGTCCATCTTTTCTGGGTCTGGCTTGGCAGTGCCAAGAGTCC